AAAAGCTCAACAGACTCAGAGGACTGTTGATTCCTCTACTTCTCAGACTCAACAGGCTGAAAATCCTGTTACAGAAAATAAAAATTTTTCTGAAGACCAGACACAGCAGACTGGAAATTCTATTATTAGACTTATAAGTCCAATGGACCTTAAACAGAAAAGCCCAATTAATTTTCCAGGATCATTCCAATCAGCTCAAGATCCAGACCAAATTTCTCAATCAGATATTAGAAAGATTAAAGAAATGTTTGAAAAGATTGAAGAAATTCAGCAACAAGTTAAACAAAGTACTACGAAGAAAAAGAAATTACAAATTAAAAAGAAAAATAAAGGAAAAAAGAAGATTGAACAAGACATAAATTTAGATGACTCCAAAGACAATAATTCAGAAGATAATCCAGAAGATCTTACTGATGGAGGAGATTCTTTAGACAGTATTGGCAGACACAATTATGCAACAAGATAAGAGATTTTTCAGACAGGTGTAAAGAATAAATCAGACAGCTGGAGAAAAGACAAGAAGTCTCTAGAAAAAGAATTTTTTGATTGAAGATTTTTGTCCAGACGTCAAGACTTTTGAAGATTTTTTACTATTTACTTTTTGAAAAATCTGTAAAAGAATCTTACTATTATATAAAGTAAGATTTGATAGGATAGCTTTTACTATTCTCTTTTTGACATTTTGAAAAAAGCAAAGATTCTTTGCTTTTAGATAATGTCTTTTTTACCTTTTCTCTACTATAAAAGGAGATCATTCTTTCATTTGTAAGAACACGGAAGAACATATATACAATACAAGTTTCTAATTCTCTAAAATATGTTCTGATTTTCCTTCTTTCCCGAAAGGGAAATTCTTAATTGTTCTTATTCTTAGATGAAATAATATCCCACAAAAATATTTATATTTTTAAACTACCGATGGATCATTCCGGTAGGTATGTTTTATATAGTTCTAAAGATATGGTGCTAATAATTAATATTAGTTCCAGATTTTATAAGAACATTTATTATTCATAAAATTTTTATGATTTTGTAAAGATTTTTATGTTTCATGCTGAGTATATGATAAGAGCATGTCTTAACTCCAAGTTTAAAGTTTAAAACTGTTTTTAAAATAAGCCCTGAGTGACCTCTCAAAGCGTAAAGGCCCAGTGGAGAGGCTAGGAGACGCATAGAAGAGGGAAAAGGATCACTGTTTTAAGAATTCTTGTTAAGGGAGTGCCAGTGGTGTCCTTATAAGAATGGAGTTAGGCCCAAGTTCATATATCTCAGATGGCATATTTCAAATTATGATAAAAAAAAAAAAAAAAAAAAAAAATGTGTGTGTATGTGTGTGCGCGCGCGCGAGCTCGCGCTATGTCCATATTCATGAATATGATAATAGAAATACACGGCAGTTACTGTCATTCTTTCTCTTTTTATTCATTTGTGTGTTTAATAATTATACACATAATGCATGTGAAAATATGTGAATATTTTATAATTTATATATGCAGTATATGTGTTGTGTGTGATGTGTGTGGCGCATGCGGTTTGGGTCGCGTATGTTTCTTTGGGGTGTGACCAGAAATTGTTTTATGCTATTTTTTTTAATTAGTTTACGCTTTATTTTTCACGATATAGATTCAAACTAATATGTTTTTGATTGTTTGTTTTTTTTTTTTTTTTTTTTTCCTTTTTTTAAATTTTTTTGTGTTAGGTAGAAGGTGACCTTAATTTATCTAAGAGAAAGCAACACAAGGAGTATCCAATCACTGAAGAAAAGGTCAATCACTTAAAACTTTTGAATATTCAGATAGAAGCAAATGATTCTACGTGTTCTTCGTTGAAAGATAAAATCAATCAACTGACATCTAAGTTGGACAAACTCTGTGATGAGCTTCAAACCCATCGGGAACAAAAAAGTATGCTTGAAACTCAAAAAGTTACATTGGAGAAATCACATGCTAGAGATGTCACTAGCATAACATCTATAAAACAGAAAAGGAAGAACCTTGAAGATAGATTCCTGCAAATGATTAATGGAGATTAATTTTACTCGAGTTGAGACTTTCTGGTTTTGTTTATGAACTTTGGTTCACATCATTTATATTTATATGACGAACTTTTCTTCTTCATGCTTCTTGTACGCATAATATTTTTTTACCGCAGAGAGAGATAAATAAATTGAATGAATTTAGCCTCCATTTGATAGACAATAATTTCCATGGAAAATGGAAATTAATTTCTATCTTCCACATTTGAGAATGTTTGATAGGCAAGAATTTCCATGGAATTCATTTTCCATGCTGCCCTCGCCTATTTTCCTTGAAATCATGGATTGGTTTTTCCACCTATATGGTGGGAAAGTGAATTCCTCGTTTCTTTTTTTTCTTTTTTTTTTTTACAATGGAAGTACATTCTAGGAACAATTGTAAAAGATGATATTCTTCAAATTGACAATTTTCATATAAAACAAAGCTAAACGAATAACAAAATATAGACAATTTTTGGATTTTATTTATTTATTTTTATTTTTTTTGGCAATGAAAACAAATTTTATCCCCAATACCAATAAATTTTATCCCTTTTATTGATAATTTTTGTGTAAAACAAAGTCAAATAAACACCAAAAAATACTTTTATTTCAACATTTTTTCACGTGAAAAATTATACTAATCAAACACAATAAATTGATAATTCCGAGAAAAACAATTTCTAAACAATTCAATTCCCTGAAATTCGTTTTCTTTCCACACAAATTATATCTTTACAATCAAATGAACCCTTATTGATTTTGACTGAACTTGATTTTATAATTTATTTAAGCTGCCTATGTATCTAAAAGGAATCAAGTTGAACATAGTTCATTAAAAGAACTCATCCTTTTTATTTTTTTATTTATTTTTTTTTGTTTATAGGGCCGTTCATAATTTATCCTTTTGTAGGCCAAAAGTAGAACGTTTTTTAAACAATGAAAAATTTGCAAAATAAATAACTTCAAGCGTAAAAACGCTTCAAGAATTTTTCATTAATAGGTCCAATGTGCGGTCCATCTTTGTCGATATCTTATATGCTCCATTGGTGAACGCATGGATAGCAAGGAATGCACCTCCTATTTAAGTTGGAACTTGCCTCCCATTTTTCTTGTAATTATGATTGGCCTGCATATCAAAGGTATTAGATCTTTAACTTGACATGATCTTAAAAGCACATTTTTGTTGAAAGACCTTGTCGTTCGAGCTTGATAACATTACAGGTGCATCTGTACCTCTAATCCCTTCTCATCCAAAACTTCTAGCTCTTCGAGTTGAACTTTCATCTGTTATCAAAGTTTCTTGGATGACAATTCGAAGTGACAAAGTTTGACATTCTAAAGGAAGTACAACTTCCCCTCCATACACCAAAGCATAAGGAGTAGCTTGTATTGAAATCTGATTAATAGTGCGATAAGTCCACAAGGCTTTACCAATTCATTCATGCCAATCTCTTTTCGATTTAAAAATAACCTTCTTTAGTAATCTGCACAAAGTTTTGTTGAATGCCAATGATAACTAGTTAGCTGCTGCATTATTTGAATATAACTTTGCACATAAATTGTTTATGTAGCTATTGCATAAGGTTTTCCATTATCGGTGATAATGTGCCCATAACCCTATATCGGTAAATGATCAGAATACAAATGAAATCCGGAATATTTATTTATTTTTACTTCTTTCAATGGTATAGCTTCAACCCACTTAGAGAAATAATCAATCTTAGCGATGATGTATCAATGCTCAACTGAAGACTTTGGAATTATAAGTCAAATTACATCAAGACCTCATGCATCAAATGACCAAGAAACTACTATTTGAAGCAATGGTTCCGAAGGCTGATGAATTAAATTTGCATGAACTTCGCAAACTTCACTTTTCTTTGTATAATCCATGAAATTCCGTACCATAGTTAGCTATCAATAGCCCATTCTTTTTATCCAAAAATAGAGTTTGGGTCCGAACTGATGAGCACCACATACATCATACTGGGCTTCTTCCATGACATGCGATGATTCATCGCTACTTAAGTATCAAGGGAAAATTCATCAAATGATTGTCATCAAGTGTATCCTTATAAATGATAAAGCCAGATGCACACCTCCTGATTTTTATCTTTGTCGTGAACTATCCGATAACTTTTGATGTTGACAAAAAAATTGATTATTGGTTATCTCCAATCATCATTTTCTTTATCAATGACTTCAACATTATTGTTTTCTTCCAAATTATCGGGCAACAATGACGAAAGAATCCTTCTTTGAGCAATTGATATGGGACAAGAAACCTGTTCATCCGACTTAGCTAAAACAACAATCCATTTAGCTAAGGTATCAACTTCTTTGTTTTCATTTCTAGGCACGAATTTGATCTTTACCGAATCTAACCGTTTCATAAGAATTGGTGCATATTCTTGATATGGCATCAAGATTGAATAATGGACTTCTTAAGAAACATACACATCTGGCAACTTAGGGGTGCAAGAATGTATTATACTTGTAACTTCTTGTCTTGATTGTTATTATGTGTCAGGTGCTCTACGTATGCACAAAAGTATGCATCGGAAAAAGGAATTCCAAAAGCTCAGAATTAGTTGTTGGATCTGAAAGGATAGATTCTGAAACCGTATTTCTTATCCTAGCAAGTGCTGGCATTTGGGAGGTAACAAGTAACAGCTTTAATCGAATAAATTGACGTTTATGTGAGATTTGTCTCATGTTGGAAATCAGGAAATTCTCTGAACTTGATCTATGTGTGAAATGATAAATCTAGGACACATAACAATGCACTAGCCAATCGACTACTCAGGTTGTGTAGCGGCTTGGACAGCCTGGGCCATGTTTGCCTCACAACCAGCACTACTTCAATCCCCTTACCAAACATGTCAAGGCTCAACTAACGATTAATTATCATCTCTTTCTTTGTGTTTGATCATTATTTCTATAGGTTATGAAGAACAAGGCTGTAAATCTGATAAGCCACATAGAAGACCCTCAAAAAGCAGCGGAATGCTTAGCAAATGAGAATTTGAAAAGTATGAGCAACACCATTATTTCTTGTCTTATCATTCGCTTCGATTAATACACCATGTTAATTATTGGTTATTGCTTAATCTTGCTCACCATGGTGCCAATTGTTAGTTGACACCTCTAATATACTAGGGAATAATTTTGGATATTAGAGCACAAAAAATTAAACATACTTTCCTGTTTTCCTGTCAGCCGTCCATGCATGAGCAGCCTGGCCAGGGTAAGTGCTTATCAATCAAATTAAGCTCTTGGTCTCAACTCTTTGTAGATTATTGCTAAAAGGGTGAATAATATTCAATATCTCAGTAATTTAGGACCTTCCCCCAAGATGCAATAACTGTCATACTTCTCAAGAGATTCTGTCCATTGACACAGTTTATGGCTGCAGGATAATGTTCACCATCATTTGACTATTAGATTAATTATTCTTGTTGCTGGCCATGTACACTTGAACTTGTTATCAATGAACTCATAATCCAGGCTGACCACCTAAATAATGATCTTAGTATCAGGAAATTCCAATGGAAGCTAGATATTGGCAACTAAAAAAAGATCAGCTAATGTGATAAGTAACAGTATACTTTCACCGAAATTTCACATCATTCAACCTTAAAATACAAAATAAAGCAATGATCAATGTGCAGTTCCAATGAATCCAACATGCCATGCATTTGATTCCAAGATCAGTTTTACGAACGTGCAAATATCCACTTTTAATTTTTGCAGCAGCATAAGTTGAAGTATTTTGACACAAGCTTAAAGGAAACTCAACAATTAACAAAGCACTAATGCATCTTTCGTCATGAGGAAACAGTAAGACCTCACCTCAACAGACTTGATACTCTACGAAGCTTGTTTCTTTTCACTTGACTTGCTCCAAAATGGCAATAAAGAGAAATGCCGAGATGCTGTAGCAAGGCAAAATAAATAAATGAGAACCCGATTTCCTTTATGTTACCAATAAAGATTATAATGAGCAAACTAGTTCACAAAAGCACTTACACTTTCGAGAAGCATTGCTCACAGCTGGGGTTTCATCTCGTGAGATTAGATTCTTCAATGAATCAACTGGAACAAAAAATATGTCAACAGGCAGACAATTTAAATTTTTAGTGACATCACCAAAGTCATCATTTTCCAAGCATGTTAAACATGAAGCGCGAGCATGTCTGTCCGGTAATTTTCCAAACAACCTAAATGTCCTAGAATCTCGAGAGTTTCGTAGGCTACATATTGGACTATTTTAATACCATGAAGAACAATGTATGAACTTTGTATTGTTTAATTAATTTCAGCATATGAAATTAATACTATAAATACAATATTGTCAATCCGCCTGAAAATGTGTATTGCGATGTCTGGTCATGTACTCTAATAATTGATATCATTTTCGACTTCCACCATCATCACCGTCAGCTGCAATTGACCTTTGTCAAATGCCAGCAACGGGTAACAGTAAAAGCACCATGGCTCGACTAGTGAAGGTGAAGGTCCTCCATCATTGGAGATTAACCAATTTGCTTATTGTATTTGAATGACCTAGAGAATGCCTTGGGCATGTATCAAAAAGATTGCCTATCAAACATATTTCTAGATTTAATAGAAGCTCAAAGAGGTCGATAGAATTGCAGCCACCATGGCTTATTAAGCAGAACCATGCATCTTTTAACTTTTGGTATTAAGTCTTATAATTTTCTGGTATTAGTCTTCAAGGTAGAAAATAGCAAATCACCTGCACTTGATGCAGCAGGATTTCTTGCATGATCACCCTTATCAAAACCATCAATACTTGCACCACCCGATTCCACACTGAAATCAACTGAAGCGGAAGAATGATTCTTCTTTCCAAACTTCAAAAGTCGTTTAAAACCTTTAGATGATTCCTTTATTGGAATCGAGTCTAGATTTTTTTCCAATCTGAGGGTTTTCACATCAGGAACACGGGCTATAGCAGTTTCTTCAACTCGCAATGCCATATCTGAGCTCGCTAAGGGTGCTTTGCCATAATTGGTCTTTCGAGTGCAGGGGTCTTCCAAAGAGGAGACCCGAGCATATGGAACCTGATAGGTTTTTTTGGCGGTGATGGCACTAGAAAACTTCGGAGGGTCCTTCTCCTTATTATTTATCTTCACCTGAAATTAGAGTATAGTATAGTGTCAAAAGCCCGATACAAAATTAGATCAAACCATATCCTGATTAAATGACTTAAATAAACTAAAAAGGTAAGGAATTCAAAGTCTCAATCACAGAAACTGTTCATATCTATAGACCGTCCAATAAATTTCCCATTAAGATTTACATCATGTTTTGCAAATGATAAGGAGTTTCAATTCCTTCCAAAAGTGAAGGAAGAGATTGAAGTAATGCATGGTCACATTTTTTAGATTTGCATTCAGCCAATCAACCTGTGTATGACAACCTAACATCTTAGCAATTGTATATGATACAATGAATAATTACGTAAACAGATCTAAGCATGTCTAGTATTATAATTACCTGCTTTGAAACCTAGATTAAGTTTATTCACAAACGCAACACACATTGAAGGAAAGATATGTTTTGTTGCATATTTTTAAATTCCTATTCTTCAAATACACTCAGTTGATGACAAGCCAGTATCATGCTTAACATCTGTATAAAAAACTCTTTTTTTTTTAAAGAATAGGTGTTTGCATTGTCTAGTCTTCTATTCTAATATTTATCTGCTTTCAAACATAAATCAAAGTATTAAGGAAGTGTGTTATATATGACATTTTAGAAAATGGTAAGAAAGAAATAGAGTCTAAACTACTCAGCTTATGCAAAATGGAAGAAAATCTCAGTTTTACACATCTTACTGAATTAGAATCTGATTGCTTTTGGGGTTGATTAGGTAAGGAATTTATATCAACTCCATCCATAGGCAAAGTTGGTGCACATATAGAAGTTAGCTCAGACATGATGTCACTATTCTCTCCCCTGTCATGATCATCCAACCTCTGATCACGTATGCTCATCTTTCCCCCTGATGAATGTAAAGCAGGAATAGAAGGCTTCTCATGCTCTAGCATCACAATAGTTTTCTCAATTATTGGGTTGTCATCTATATTATTTCGATGTGCTATACTGCATTCTTTCACATTTAGTTCAGCATTTTTAGAGAATGCAGAAGGCTTTACTCCATTCAATTGAAGCGTGCCCTTGACCACTGATTTGTTCTGGCCTATGTTCACAGGTGCTTTTTCTGTTTTGATTTTTACTTCAGGTGGAGTTTCAGCTTTATCATTATTAAGGTTTATAACTGCAGATATTTTGTTCCTCTCAGGCCCCATGGACAGCTTTCTCTTGGATACTGCTTCAGCACTTCGGGCTTTCATCGAAGTAACAGGATAAGTGCTGATTATTTTGGGCTCTGATAATCTTCTAATCCGATCCATAGAGGCCGTAGAGGCTTTTTGTGACTCACTGGATCCAATTGAAGTTCTGACTTTGGATCTCTGCAAGGGTGATGATGACCCAGGTTCCGAATCACTAAATTTGGATCCTCTGTTAGTGATGGGAGTAAGTTTTGATGGCAATTTCTTTGTTTGAGGTGAGGGTAGTGATGATTTGGCAGAGGTGGAACTTCCTCTAGATGCAATTCTCTTTTGTCTCTCCAGCTTTAGAGCTTCAAGGCGCTTTAGTTCTGCTTCTTCCTGTGAACAAATGATCTTTAGAGCACGGAAGTTCATTTTAAAAGATAAACTAATTAGTTGATATGCAGATGAAACACCAAATCTTGATTCAGTGTTTTTATATCTCAACAGATCCAATGAGTCGTTCTCTTTTGTATCTCATTTTTGTTTAGCGGTGAATCAGTGCTTCAGCATATTAAGAACATAAAAAAGAGCCCAATGTACCTTCTCTTTCTTCATTTTCTGGAGATCAGCTTTGAAGGATCTCAACTCTTTGGCACGTGCTCGTGCATCTTCTAAAGGATTTATTTTTGATTGTTTTTCCTTCCTTATAGGTCCTCCAGTTCTCTGCTTATTCAGAGAGTCTGAAGGAACCTTCGATCTCCTATCCTTGTCTGATTTTTTTAATCCTCCCTTGACATCAACCACTCCTTTTTTCCTTTTCTCCTCTGAAGTAGAACCTTCCGTGCATACCTGCATTTCATAGTCCAGAGCAGGGTCATATCCACTGGACCTCTTTTCCGTGCCACGTTCAGGCATCAAGTTCAAATCATCAGGCTCATAATTGACTTGGTTCCTCATTCGGCTAGAAATGCTTTCTGATTTCTTATGTTTTGATGGAATCTCAGGATCTAACTCAATAACAGTTCTCTTCCCTACTCCATCTTGATCTATTGACATTGACCTATATGGTACTAAAAAAGTTTCATCAGCCATACCAGACGATGACTCTTTATTCTTCTTATTGACTGCACGCTCATAACCATCCACAGCTAATGGCTCTGATGACTTCAATTGGTTCCCTCGACTACGTATCATAAAACTATCACCCATTGTTTTAGACGGAACTCTCCTTCCATTTGTTTCCATGAATTGCATATTCATTTGATCTTCATATCCTCTGGAATCATTATTTCCTCCACATAAAAGCAATTCATCATTCGATCCCATGGGCCTGGATGACATACTTCCACCAATTTTGTGGATTCCATTCATCCTAGTATCTTGTGTTTCTCCTGTTTCTCGTCCAGCAAGAGCCAGTTGGTCGTGGCTGAAATTATTTGCTTGTCTACTTATTTTAACATCTTTTTCCATTGCAAACAGGCCCTCATTAGAGGTATGAGTACCTTCATTAGCTCCCCTAAGTAAACATTTTTGAAATGCTTGCCAGTGTCCATCATCATTTTCTTTTCTGGAATGTAAGACATGGTCATTTAAATTTGGTTCATCCTTTGATTTCAAATGGCTCACTTTTCTGGTCGGATGTCTCGAACTCTTCTTATGTATTACATCAAGACCTTCAGCCTCAAACTCAGCATTTTCTAAATCAGTATCTGAATCTGCACTGGATTCACTATCAGATTTTGTCACTTCAGAAGTGATGTAATTGATGTTCCGAATGACAACCATGCCTGATTGTTTTTTAACAGATCTTCCAGCCTTTTTCTGTGCTTCACAACTGTGTGAAATTTCCATACCATCCTGTGATCTTATCCTGTCACTCTCCCACGTCTCTGACTTGGTATTGCTATCTTTACCATCAATGGGCTGCCTCTTTTGCCCTGTTGGATGACCAGCAAGTGGGGAATGCTCCATTGGTGAGGGAGGTGGCTGATAAAACGGGCCATTTCCAATATAGGCCTGATAGTACGGCATTCCTTGAACAGGGTATGCTTGAAGAAATGGTGGAGCACCAGGTGGAGCATGCACATGCCATGGAGGAAACATCAGATGAGGATACTGTCCTTGAACATGTTTTTCTTGACCATTAGGAATTGGGCAGTCTGCCGGAGACCTTTCATCTGGAAAAAAATTGAACATGATATGTCTGCTATCTCCCCGGAGAAAGAAAAAATGATATAGACAAACCCCATGCAGTTAGAAAATAAATAGAGGCCAGAACAATTAGAATACAGTATGAATTTTGTAGGGAAAAAACATTTTAGCATTTGTAATCACATTTACGTATTAGAAGACAACTGAAAGACTCGCTAATTTGTATCACACTACAGCTTGACATATGACCACTTGTAAGCAACAAAGAGACAGTTCGTTTGGTACTGTTATATGCCTTTCATGGATGACCATAAACATTGGTCATAAGTTTGCTATTCATCTGTGGAGATCATTAGTAACAACTAACAACCAATATGTTGGACGCATTAGAAGTGACAACCCTACCAGATCTGTGATTTGCAGGGCAAGTGTTTGGCAGCTAATTTCCACAGAAAGCCAATTCCCTACCACTAAAAGAAAAAAATAATAATAATAAAGAAAACTCTCACTGACATTGAATATAAATGTCACTTCATGAAATTGAAATGGGAATGCCAGCCTTAAAGAAAATTATGATATGATAATTGTTGGAAAAGAATTTATATCTGGCCAATTTGGAGCTAATACTTGAGTGGGTCCCATAAACCAATTTTGGGGGAACCAAGGTCGAGTATCTTCTCTGCAAGAAGATGTTTGTATTTGTTTAATCAAAACTGTTTGCAGTTGAATGAGAAATTAAGTCTAATTAGTGCCTATTTAAATAGAAAAATGGAAGTTTAAATTAGAGAGAAGATGGAGAAAATATTGGTGCATTTATGGGATAATTTAGGTCTGCAAAACTTATTCCTTTTTATATCCCACTTAGTTGAAATATGGTGTATTTATAGGATAATTAGGTCCAGCTTCCTCTTTGACACGAGGCAGGCAACACTATCAACTTCTCCTTGAAAGCCCACTTAACTGGGATCTGATCCCACACCTATGGTTATCCTTAGAGGTCCAAATTCGATAACCAGTGATTAATTTGATCCTCACACAAAAATTAGTACCTTGGATCATAAACTCCAAGAAATAGATCCTAAATAGATTTCTTCCAACCAGTACATCTAAAATAAAAGACTATCAATTTCACTCTTATACTTGTAAATTAAAGGCCAAATCAGTCTGCTGCATCAAGCACTCATGTAAATGAAAGCAAATACGAACGATTTTGAAGCAATTCAGAAGATATAACTGAAAGATGGAGCAATATTATGGCTCTGTTGAAATGTTGATATCCCAAGCAGAAAAAAGAGTAATTTAATGACCTTAGAAACACTTGTTCTCTTACCAATGTTAATGTCTGAGACAGATTTTCCATTATTCTCCAAGATCATGTCATGGTTAAAGTCATTATTGGTGGTGGTCGCAGAAGAAAGAATAGCACTAGATGCATTCATTACTGAGAAGTCTGATCGAGCAGACATTGCCTCCGCTGCTTCAATTTCAAGCCATTGCCCATTTTCATGCTTTCTCTTCCACAGCTCCAAGAACCTTGAGCATGCTTCCCTGTCATATGGATAGAACTCATAGTTAGAAAGTTTGTCAAAATAAAGTTGCAAGTAGCCCTCGAGAATTACAAGGATTATCCTCGAAATAATATATGGGGAGGGAGCTTGAAGCAGAAGAAGAATTCACGCTTACATTAAACGTGAGGCTCCAAAGCACTCAGCAAATGACAGAAGTGGTGCCATGTGATCAATATCAAACCCTGCTGCTACAGCTTGTGCAAAAGCCATGCCTTGTTCTTTTTGTAGCGCTGTTTTACGGGTCCCAAGGACTTTCAAAAGTTGGACTCTGGTTCACCATATGATGAAATGCAATCAGGTTAAGCTCTTAAAAAAAATTTCTTGATATTGTTTCTTTTCTTAAACTTTCTCTAATTTCATTGGCCATATTGATCTTGAATATCAAATCAAATATTTGCAGAAGACGCATGAGAGAGAAATCACCAAAACCATAAAAATTTACAAGTGAATCATCAGATATCCAAGAGAATTGCTATGTAACAATCCAGTTGATTTTAGGATGGGATATGTGCAGTGAAGTGTAGTTGAGGCATCAAATGAATATTTTTGTGCATGGATCATAACCACAAGGATGATAAACAGAAAAGTAGCACACACAAAAAGCAAGTCCCCAAAGAAATATGGTTTATAAATAAATGTCTAACTAATATAAGTAGAAGGGTAAATTGCTTACGAGAAAAAACTGAAATATAGATAAAGTAGAACAGCGACATATTGATATCTTAGTGAGGGCTTGCCAAACATACTAAAGGAGAAATAAAATAGAACAGCCAATCTACGTTGCTACACATTATCTCATCTAGGACAATAGTTTCCACTGCATATCCTATGGCCTTTTCTCAGAATTTCGCAATTTATATTCTAATGTCTCACTTCCCAAAAAAAAAAAAATGATGTACAACTTCCAGATCAAACGATAATTTTCGAAGGATTAAGAAGTGCAATCACAAACACAAGTAATTCCTCCGGGAATGTAAATATTTACAAAGGAAATCCTATTTTAGCACTACAGTACATACTTCGAATTTTCTTCCTGTGATGACGACCCCTTTGCTTCTGATGTTTGTGAACCAGGCTGTCAGAAAACGGAAAGGAAGTGTGAGAAAATGCAATGTCCAAATAAATGCAACAAAGAAATATGATGTTGAAAACCTATTCACCTTGTAGAGGATGATTGCTTTTTCCTCATTTGAAACAGCCGTTGATTCATTACCTGCCAAAAAGAACTCAGTATTAATAGTTTGAGTCATCGTTTACCATCAGTCAACAAAAGGGAGCAAGACAAATCGGCAAAAAGGAAGGAAGAAGAACAGCTAATAGGTAACACAGAATGTCAATTTCCAATAATGGTGTCCCTCCTCATGAACCTATAACATTTAGCTTCTAGATTGAAATTAATACCAAAAAACAGCAAGAATGGAGTAGAAATCTAACATGTAAGTAAACATTTTACTGTATCAAGAACGTATGTTTGAAGGAGGAATTAGTATACTGTATACAAATGCAAATAGTCCCTTTTGTACATTTTACATCAAAATATACAAATGGAATGTAGGTTGTACCTTCAAAGCTTCCCAATGGTTTTCGTTGATGGTATTCCACCTGTCAATGTCAAGAAAACATTAAAGGAAAAACCCCATTAAAATGGTGTTTTGTTAAGTATAAAACAATTATTCCAGTGGATAGTAATAACAGTATAGAACAATTATTCAAGTGGATAGTAATTACAGTGCTGTGCCCAATGTCATTACTGCTTTGTATGGCAATTGCCTCCTCAAGTTGTATGATCTGCGTTTCTATGGTGTACACGCGTTCCAAGATCTCCGGAGTGCTCACAAAACGAACAAACCTATTAAAAGTAGCAAAGATTATATCCTTTTGTTCACTACGCTTTAGCTTAAAGACAAGATGCAGAACACTGCTCCTCAAACTTAGAAGCATTGATGACAACACAGTTTCCTTTATTTATAGGGATTTTATAAGTTAAAGAATTATCCCACAAGAAGAAATAATGCTCAACTAAGCCAATTGAATTAGAGTGCAATAAAGTAACTGAATCGAGGAAATACAAATCAGTAAAATCACATTACATATTCCATTTTGAGTATGGATTATGAGTTGGCAAGTTAGTAATGTTTATCTAAGCCCTTGTTTCTATGTATTTATAATTTGAATTGATTCTAATCTATTCTCAAATAATGGCTTTTTCCAGATAATTATATATCAGGCTCATATTTACACAAGTGAATTTCATTCCAATAGCATAGAATGAGATTATTTTATGTAATGAAGAACATCGCGAATTTTCATATTACTGATTTGAACAAAGTAGGTAAAAACAACAATCTACAATTTTGAGGATAGTTAAGCACATGACTAAAATAATTTCAGCAGTTAAGCCAACTGGCAGCTTTTCAAGAAAACATCCAAATTTAGACTATATATGGCTCATGTTTATAAATTGTTTATAAGCAATCAAGTCGCTTAATATCCACACATTTGAGGCATCCACTAGTACTGCCACTTATTCACCACTCAATTCTATCTGTTTATTTTGATAGGAATTCTATCTGTTTATAATTTAAACCTTTTATTAACACTTCCAAAACATGGTATAGTGATATAAAGGAATACATCAAAAACTCTTAACCCACAGCAAAACATATCAGTCAACTTCAAGATAAAAATGTAAATCTACTAAAAACATTTGCACCAGCACTAAGCAATATTAACTCAACATTTTCAGCAAAAACAGAGCGTAACTCATCATTTTGCCAGCATTCTAGAATCTCACCACCATGGTTTCCCAAAGAAGCCAAAGACATGGCACCATGAAGACAGTTAGATCGCACATAAATACGAGCTAATTGACTTTAACTACATAGAAAAATGCCAGAACTCAGCAGATGAATTTGCTACAATAGATACACAACCTGATATGACATACAAGTATACAAACCTTTCCAGAGTGGCCTTTGTAAACCATGCTACATCACTGTTGGGTCCTGGTTCGAGCAAAAGTGTATAACCACCCTTAGCATTCTGATCTTGAGCAGTTTTCAAGTGGGCAAGAAAAGGATTTAGCAATCCTGAAGCAATTTTCTCTTTCTTATCATTTGATATGATAATCAAATCACACCTGAGGATTTAAAGTTCATATGGCTGGCATTATAAATTAACTAGTCGAAACTAAATTTTCTCTGTATAGCATCACTAAAAATGCATAAATCATAGTATTAATATTCAAAATAAATAATAAAAAAAGATTAAGGCTCTTCATATTTTCCAGAACAACTAAAGGAATTTAAAAATAACTTGGTTCAAGATGGGTTGCATCGCTAGTACATTTTTTAAGATTGTTCATTATTTCACTTTCTTTTTGTAGCACCATTGGATAAACAAATTTATAGACAACCGTACTATTTTGTTCGGATTCCCTTAATTTTAATTTAGAAGTCAAGTAGAAATCCCGTAATTTTGGGATCATTAATTATGGAATTGTTGTAACTGTGTATAAGGTATAATTGGTGATTAGATAGGAAAAAATTTATTTCTTTAATTAGGTGATTATATTTTTTTATTCATTTCATCTTACTGTAATATAAATTAAGGTGTAAAGTTGTAAAGAAATTATTGTGAAAATAGAAAATATTTCCTCTCATTTCTGAGTTTATGGTATAAGAGCACGGGTTAGCCTAAAACCCGACAATCCATGGTGGACAAAACTATCAACAGCAAAGACTCCACCATCTCCAATTCAACAACTGGCGAAACCGAATCAGTCCCCACCAACTCACAGTAGAAAAACTCAATGGGAAAAATCACGAAGAGTGGGCCCAGTCAATTAAACTAGTGATCAATGGAAAAGGTAATATATGATACCTTACAAGCGAGACAAAGTAATCCACATAGGCAAACCTTCGAAAACAATGGAAATCTGAAAACTCCATGGTGATGGCATGATCGTTGAATTCAATGAAGCCTTCAATCGGTAAAACTTAACTGTTCATGCCGACCGCAAAAGACATATGGGAAGCTACCCGAGACATGTATTCTGACACCGAAGATTCATCCCAAATCTTCGAAATTAAAATCAAGTTGTGGCAAATGAAGCAAGGGGAGAAGGAAGCTACCAAGACAAAATACAAGAAACCACAGCTATCAAGCGACAATTGACTCCACTGAAATAAAAAATCACACGCCCAGCGATGCATTCAACTCTGAACAGTTGAAACAACTCTTCAAAATGTTCTCCAACTTCCAAACAAATATCCACTCAAGTTCATTAACCCACAAAGGTAATTTCTTTGGAGCTATAAACATTATCTCATTCGCTAAAGTGCCATGGATTATTGACTCAGGTGCGTCCGATCATATGATGGACTCTTACAATCTGTTTACACATACTCAACATGTGCTAGCAATCTTAAAGTAAAAATTGCAGATGACTCTCTCTCTCCAATAGCTAGAAAATAGAGTATTCGAATATCTAAAACTATAACGCTCGCAACATGTTCTTCACGTTCGAAACCTATTCTACAGCTTATTGTCCATTAGCCAATTGACTAAAAATTCAAATTGTTCTGCTAATTTTTTCTTTCTCACTGTGTATTTCAGGACCTATCATGAGGAAGACGATTGACGGTGCTAAAGAGTGTGAATGACTCTACTGCTTTGACAAGAATGATGTGAGTAAACATCAATTTATTAGTTGTGATTCTGCATTTACTCCTAAGGATAGTAAAGATGCAATTTGATTTTCAATGTAAAATGTGTGAACTTGCAAAGCATCACCGTACTTCATTTCCAAAATCCACATATAAATCGTCAAAACTATTCACCATGGGACCTTCATGAATCTTTAATCGCATCTATACAAAATGGTTTGTCACGTTTATCGACGACCATACTTGAATTTATTGGGTCTACATGTTAAAAGAAAAAATTCGATGTTAATTCAGTATTTATTGACTTCCATTCAATGGTACACACTCAACTCCAAATACAAATCCAAATTCTGTGCACAGATAATGGCTCAGAATATTTCAACAATACTCTTAAAACCTACCTTCAAGAAAATGGGAATATCCATCAAAGTTCATGTGTCGATACTCCTCAACAAAATGGGGTTACTGAACGAAAAAATAGACATCTTCTTGAGTTTGCTTGTGCCCTAGTGTTCACTACAAATATGCCTAAGATATTCCGAGACGATGCCATTTTAAAATCAGCTTATCTCATAAACAAAATGCCTAGTTGCATCCTCAACTTCAAATCTCCTATCCAAAAACTCCAAGAATCCTTCCCTACCTCTAGCCTTAGCTTAAACTTACCTTCAAAAGTGTTTAGATGTACTAGCATTGTTCCTATGCATTCTCATCATCAAAATAAACTTGAACCCCATGCACTCAAATGTGTATTCATTGGATACTCACCTACGCAAAAGGGATATAAATGTTATGACCCAAGCACAAAAAAGGCATTTGTTAGCCTTGACGTCACCTTCCTTGAAGAAAGCCCTCATTTCCAAAAATCATCTCTTAAGGGGAAGAGACCGTGTGAAGACCAGTTCTTGGAAATCTCTCTCCATTCCACCTATAATACCAATACCACCTAGTTCTAATATGTCACTTACAGAGGACAACTTGAATTCAGGAGGGCAAAGAGATCAACAAGACAGAGCTAAAATTTACTCAAGAAGGCCAAAATTAAAGGATAACAAAACCCCCCACCAAAATTGGTGGTAGCTCTAGTTCCCCATGAACCCATGTCGGAATCACTTGACATTAACCTAACTATTACCCTCAGGAAACCAACTAGATCATGTACTTTACTCTAGAAGGCCAAAATTAAAAGATAACAAAACCCCCCACCACAATTGGTGGTAGCTCTAGTTCCCCATGAACCCACGTCGGAATCACCTGACATTAACCTAACTATTACCCCCAGGAAACCAACTAGATCATGTACTCTTCATCCTATCTCAAAATTCATAGCTTATGAAATCTTATCTTCAGGATTTCGAACCTTTGTCTCCAACGTAGATAGTACAAAAATCCCAAGAAATATCCAAGAAGCATTGGAAATCCCTAAATGGAGAGAAACCGTGATGGAAGAAATAAGAGCATTAGACACAAATGAACATGGGATATAATGGAGCTACCAAAAAGAAAGAGACTTGTTGGGTGCAAATGGGTATTTAATGTAAAATACAAAGCAGATTGGACAATAGAACAGTAAAAAGATCGTCTAGTTGCAAAGGTATACACTTGGACTTATGGAATCGATTACATAGAGACATTTGCACCTGTAGCAAAATTGAATACAAGTCGAGTTCTCTTATCACTAGCAGCAAATTTGGATTGGCTACTCCAATAGCTTGATATCAAAAATGCATTTCTAAATGAGGAGTTAGAGGAAGAAGTTTTTATGCCACTACCACCATGTTTTTGTAAAAGAAATGAAGAAAACAAGGTATGCAAACTAAAAAGGTCTCCATAACGGCCCCAAACAGTCATCAAGAGCATTGTTTGATAAATTTGCAAATGTGTTGAAGAATCAGGAATATCGATACGCGCAGTCGGATCATACTATGTTCTTTACAATATTTGAAGATGGAACAAAGACTATTCTGATCGTAAATGTTGATGATATAAACCTCACCGATGACAACACAGTTGAGTTAGAAAGAGTAAAACGAAGCATAACCACAGAATTTGAAGTAAAATATCTGGGACAGCTATGATACTTTTTAGGAATGGAAGTAGCCAAATCAAGTAAGCGTATCAATGTTTCACAACAAAAATATATCCTAGATCTCTTAACTGAAACGGCATGCCTGGGTGTAAACCGAGTAACACTCCCGTAAATGTAGGAAGGAAGACAAACAATATGAGAGAATTAGTTAAAAAAGACAGGTATCAATAACTGGTTGGGAAACTAATCTATCACACACCAGACCAGACATTGCATTTGCAGTTAGTGCGGCGAGTCAGCACATGCATTCTCTGAAGGAAACTCATTTAGAACCAATCTACAGGATTGTGAGATACCTCAAAGCTCTCCTGGAAAATGATTGTTTTTCAAGAAAAATGAAAAGAGAGAAGTAGAAATATTCACGAATGCTGATTGAGCAAGATCAATAGAAGATAGGAGATCAAATACAGGTCATTGTTCCTTCATAAGAGGAAATTTGATAACATGGAGAAGTAAAAAGCAGAACGTAGTAGCTAGTAGTGCTAAAGCAAAATTCAAAGCAACAACACTGGGAATATGTGAAGGACTGTGGCTAAAGAAACTTTAAAATGAACTACAAGTTACAATAAAATTCTCAATTAAACTCTACTATGATAATTAAGCTGTGATCAACATTCATTGAATCCAATTCAACATGATCGAACCAAACATGTAGAAGGTTGACAAAACACGTCATCAATGAGAAAGTCGAAGATGGAACTATATGCATAACCTACGTCCCTACCAAAGAACAAATGACAGATGTATTCATTAAAGGGCTACATAGACAACATTTCAACAATTTTTTCTGCAAGTTAGATATGGTCAATATTTACGATTCAACTTGAGGAGAGTGTAGAAATCCCGTAATTAAGGGATCATTAATTATGGAGTTGTTGTAACTATTATATGGTATAATTGGTGATTAGATAGGAAATAATTAATTTCTATAATTAGGTGATTATATTCCTTTTTTCTTTCATCTTATTGTATTATAAGTTAAGGTGTTAATTAATGTGAAAATAGAAAATATTTCTTCTCATTCATGTAAGTCATTCCAAGAACACAATACAATTCATTAACATTGAATATCAAAGTTAACATATTATTGGGGGGAAAATATCAACCAATGGAATATCAACAATCAAATATTCCCACATGAGAAATCAAAATCCATTAAATTGAAATCATGCAAACAAATCACAAACAACAATAGACAAAAATAATAAACTAAACAGCGAAAAACCTAAAGTAAAAGATCAACATTATCAAATCATTCACGCTCAACTTCATATCACTAGAAACAAACACACCACGCATACATCAACACACATGCAAATCCAGTATGAAAAAACAAAAATCAAATCGTTTGAAAATTCCAATTAACATGATATTTACCGGGTTCGAGTTGGAGTGAGCTGAAAAACAGCCGAGCTGAGCCGAGTACTCGGCTTCATTTTTTCTCCCAACCTCATTCAATGAGCTGGAAACACATACTTCAGATCTCGGAGAGAACAAGGCTTAAAACTAAATTAATTAACTAATCATCAAATAAACCTGTAAAATCGAGATATAGTAAGTAACCGATAAAACAGCTTTTATATATATTAAAAAAAAGGAAAGAAAATGAAGAAGAAATGGAACCTTAGTGGAGTAGAAAAAGAGCTCACAGGCTTTTGGTTCAGAGCCTGCACATGTATGTATATAATATACGTACAACATTGTGTATGTATATGCAGAGAGAGCGCCCCCGTGTCGTGTGACTTTGGATACTGTACGGAGAGAGCAATTCTGACAAAAAACATCAAAATTATACAACAATTTTGGAAATTTGCATCTATGTTCCCCAAACCTTCGCGCAAGTTTCACTTGGGTCTCCATTTATTTTTTAAGTAAATAAATTCTTTTTTATATAGATATTTATCAAAATTTTAGTTAACAAGTCATATGCAGTTTCACTAGGGTCTCCATTTATTTTTTTTAAGTAGAAGTAATTATTCTTCCTCCCTGAATTACAGTAACGAGCAATTGTCATTGGAATGATTACCTTAACCATAAGTATTGAAAAGAATTCCCTTCATTAAAGTGCCCTTGTTAACGAAATTTTATATCCTATACGATCTAAATTGAAAGTTTGAGTATCTCAAAACAAAAAGAAAATTGAATGGGAACAATTTGAATTGGCATGAAAGTTTGGGGACTCCAAGTGCAAATTTTTGATTCAATAAAACGTCTTTGAAAATAGCCCGAGGTAATTTAAGGGAAATTGAAGGTCAATATAGGAAATTTGAGCTGGAAGTGGAAAAGCTGTACCCAATTAAGAAGACAGAAAATTCTAATATCTCACTTTTTACATTTTTAAGTCATTTAAGCCAAAATAGCCTAGTTTAGGAAGAATTTATAAATAGTTCAGTTTATAAAAATGGATTAAATTCATTAATGACAACTCAACTTTCTATTTAATGTCGTCGTCATCATCTTATTTTATTTTATTTTACCATGATTATTCAATTTTATATTTAGTATTACCATAGCCACTCCATTTGATTTTATTTCATCATAACCACTCAATTTCATATAATATTTCACCATGATCACCTAATTTTATATAACGTTTCACCATGACCAATCATTTTCTTTTCACAATTTTCACTACTTTTAAAAGGGATAAATTGGTAAATTTACATTATATATATAGAATAAATTTAAAAAATAATAAAATATTAAAAACTTATTTTAAAAATAAAATAAATTTTTAAAAAAACTTTACTTAAGATAATATAATAAAAACTAATTTTTAAAAAAAGTTAGTAAAAAAATAAAATAAAACAAAAACTTATTTAAAAAACTTATTTTTAGAACAATGTCAATTAGAAAAATCAGATAAAAAGTTATTTTAAAAAAATGTTCCTTAAAAAATTAAATAAAATAAAAGGTTATTTTAAATAATTAAAACAAAATAAAAACTTTTTTTTAAAAAAAGTGTTTTTAAATTTAAAAAAAACTTTTATTTTTTTCCTAAATTTATTTTATATACATAATACAAAGTTATCATTTTATCTCTTTTAAAATTAATAAAAATGTTAAAAAGAAATTGGGTGCCACAATGAAACAAAATCAAATTGGGTAACAATAGTGACACTAAGGCCCTGTTGAATCCCCAAATTCTGGATAATATGTATTATAAAATAGTGATTTTTAGAAATTGTATAGTTAAAAAATAAGAAATGATTTTTAAGTACGTGTATAATTATTTTATGGAAAAATGTGTGATTAGAAATGAGATTTGAAAAAATGGGACTCAAATAGGGGCTAAATATAAATTTGGATGACCATTGGTAGATTTAACCCTTATAAAAATAAATAGATATGAATAAGTGAATAAGTGAATAGTAATTGTAAATTTATGGTTAAAAAAAAAAAGTTTGACAATTTATAATTAATTTATAAATGTTACCAAATGAAGCTTATATATATTAATTTTACTCTACCAAAAAAAAAAATAAAAAAAAATGCCAAGATCCTTACTCCCAATGAACAATTTGTATATAGTAAAGAACAATAATATTCTGAAAACACACAAACACATGAAAAATAAACGTTCAAATAAATTTTAAAAAAATAAAAATATAAAATTCTTAAAAATAAAATTGAAAATTTCAAGAAAAATTAAAATTAGAATTTTGAGAAAATAAAATCTAAAGTTCTAAAAAAATTAAATTTATAAAATATCCTAGTAAAATAAAAATAATTCAAGTTCTTAAAAATCATTACATAACAATTCTCAAAAATACATATTTGAATGACCATAAATAAAATTATTCTTAGTCCACATCCTTAATTTTTATTTTTATTTCCTATATTTACAACTCCACTAATTTTTAATTTTATTTTAGTTTTATAGCAAAAAAAGAAGTGTAAAATTCACCAATTTTAAAATGTAAATATTACTTGATAAAATATTAACATAAAATTGTTATATTTTATGCTGAATAAAAATAATTCAAGCTCTTAAAGAGCATTGCGTAACAATTCTAAAAATATATCTATTTAAATAAAGTTATTCTTAGTCCACATCATTAATTTTTATTTTTATTTCCTATATTTTCAACTCCACTTATTTTTTATTTTTTTTTATTTTAGTTTTATAGCAAAAACATAAGTGTAAAATTCACCAATTTTAAAATGTAAATATTACTTAATAAAATATTAACGTAAAATTGTTATATTTTGTACTAAATAATCTAATTTCATGAAATAAAATGTCATAAAATAAATTTTCAAAATTTCAAACCAAATTTGTGTTTTAAGTTTCTGTTTTGAGAAATAATTTTTCAATATAAAAAACAAAATATGTTTTTAGAAATCTTAAAATAGACATTCAGAAAAGAAATTTGAAAACGAACTCAAAACTTAAAATTGAAACACAAACGAAACGAGTCCTAAAATTTTACTATCGTCAGCCTCCTGAAAGAGTGGGGGATAGAAAAGGCCGAGCAGTCTAGTTGCCACTTAATGTCCTTACAGAAATGCATTTCTCTAAAGTGTTGCTTTTAAGCACTGTTTTTAAGTCTGGTCAAATTTAATCAACTTCTAAAAATATTCTCTAGAAAATATTTTTAGGCTTTACGATCTCCTGTGTAGAATTCGACGATATTGAAGAGTATAAACTATTGTCATATATTTGAGTATAAACTAATAGTTCTAATAACCATTTACAACTGAATGAAGAGCATTGGATACCCACCACATGTTAGTTTTGTATGACGTTCATGCAACTTATTACTATCATTCATAGTCAATTAAGGGTGTCAAATTAAAATAGTTTAGTAAAAACTGTATGCTTAGAAATTTAAAATCAACATGGTAAGTTAGGTGTACCTATATCGTAGAAATGACAACCGGATGAAAAATTATTGACTAATTGAGGAACTAGGTGACGACTGGGATAAAGTCCTGTCCCAAATCGTGTACTGAACGACAATAGAGAATTACTGAATGTATTAAATTATTATATTCATATTTTTATCACATCCAATTCAAGGGAATCATGGCTCGTTCAAATGTAAAGTCCATAATTCATGTGATTTCATCTTATATGTTAACTATAATGTTAAGTGTTGTTACGTCTATTCCAACGAGGCTCCAAGCATGATCACATGGCAATGACATAGCAAATGAACCTTGGCCACACTCCATGTCATTCTACCAATATGATAATTTCAGATGAACCCCTACGGAGAGGTCAAACCCATACGAAGGGCCAAATCCTCATGAATAAGGCAACGCGGGTGAGACACTACAAATAATCTAGTTGATGTGACAACACACTTCAACCGTCACTTTACAAGTCAACATGTCAAGTTTAGCCCCTATGTGTCAGTCTAAGATTGCTAAAGGTCAATAAATTAAATGTGCCTAAGCTTAAGACTAACCAATTGATACATATGACAAGGTGCCCCAGTTACTTGGATGAGGTCACAAGTCTCTTTATCCAACGAATTTTATTCATCTCTTTCTACTATAAAGCTCACACATTATACTGTTCAAAGATAATGCAAGTATATGCTCTCAATATGTAACTTTTCCAATCTCTATTTCCCCTCTACAATCCCCGGATCTGAACCCCTTTTACTTAAGTGTCGCGCATCTTAATCACATCCTACAACCAAATTTTACCCTTACAAATGCAGATTTAACCGTCGAAATGAGTACAGTCTCTTCCACCACCACTGAGGATTAGCCACGTCGCCCTTACAAAAAATGAGGTCAATAAATTGGCGCTGTCCGTCGAAAATCATTCTAAAACCACAAGCATCCTCGTGGAAAAAGCTTACGAAAAAGTGCTTCAACTTCGCCATTGAAAAAATGTTTTGTTCTTGAATAAAAGACAATTAAAAGCCGTAAAATAGAAGATTTGAAATTCAATTCAGCATTGTAGGTGTTCACACTCCTTGAAAAATGAGTATTTGAGGTCAAAATCTACTCAAGAGATCAAATCTTTGAATAAAAGAGGCGTCTGTCCAAAATGAGTGCTGGTGATGAAGATAAACACCTAAGAACGTCAAGAGAGGTCCCTGAAGAAGAGGTCCTTCGAATCAGAGTCACCGATTGCCGACCTCATCACATGCATCATCGAATCAGAAGCATGTGAGAGGTGGTGAAAATGGCCACCAATACGAGGAACATCACCCCAGCAAAATGCCCTTATGCAATAACTCCTCCTCCAAATGCAAAGGAATACACACAATCTTTGAAAAATGGAAGGTCCATGAAAAAAGGAAACATCTAAAGAAGAGACTATAAAATGATAACCCCTAAAAATCGAAGGCCTCTGAAGAAGAGGCAATGAACGAAACAAACTCTAAAGAAGGAAGGAAACCTAAAGAATAAGTTATAGTTAACGAATTAAGAGATCTTATCCCTGAAATTTGAGACTTCATCTCTACAAAAATATTTCATCTACTTTAGAGGCTTCATCCACAGAGCACGAGACTATATATTATTTTTTCAAGTATAAATGCTTCATCTCACTTATGCATCAGGGCTTCCGCCGTGCAAGACTTCATCTCGTCTATATATCAGCGCCTCCTCCATGCAAGGTTTCATCTTACCTATACATTCGGAAAAACGAAGTGTGAAGTAAAGACCTCATCCAATTTCAATTCAGCCTTATCAAAAGCTGCCTCTGTACCAACGGGCTCGCCCTTATAGAAGGCCTCACCCAAGTTTAATTCGACTTCATCAAAAGTTGCATCTTCA